GCAGATTTCACTTGTCTGCCTTCCTGCTTCTCTCACTACCATCCGTGAATCCTGTGCCTGAACTTGGAAAGGGCTGCCCTGAGCTGAGGATTAGCAGAACTCAGGACAAAAAGGAATCAGAACTGCAGTTCTCAGTGAAATTAAGTAAAGGACAAAATCACAGCCACTGCAGTTGCACAAAAGCCTTCCCGCTGCAGATTTCAAACCACAAGCAATAGTAAAGGCCAACAGCAATCCCAAGCTTGTTTGAATTGCTTTTTTTCCCCTGCTTTTTTCTCCTAACTTTACATAACACATGCTATAGCATTAACAGCTTATGCAGCAATGCACAGAGTGTCCCACCAGAAGCAGCCCACAGCACCAGGTGGGCTACTCTGCAAAGCAATGAACAAACACAGGAGTAAGCATCTGATAGAAATTCCTCCCAGCTCTCTTGAGCCCTCAGAGACACGCATAGGATGCCAGTGGGTGTGAGAAAGGGCGCTGCAGATGGCCAGCCCAAAGCCCTGACCGATGCATTTGTGTCACCATCTAGCACTAATGCCAGGCTCTGGGCAGGCTCCTTTTTGGCTGGTTTGCTGTTGTTTTGTGTTTTTTTTTTTCTCCCCATGTTTACTCTAGTTACAGTACAATATTTACAAAGAGAGAGTTACACAAGTGATGTTGAAGAGGCAGGCTAGGCCACAGCCTATTGTTAGGGCTGCACTTTCCACCATGGCACTCTGCTTTGATTTGTTTCCAGCACTCCAGTCACTCGGTCTGCAATTCCCCATGCTGTTGGGAGCCTTCCTGTGCTGTTCTGCACAGCCTTTGGGACACAGGAGCTTGCAATCATGCAGCTGCAAACCATCACATGGTATGGACAGATGCATCAATATAGGCAGACGTACAAATGCACACAAAGCAAACTGGCTTCAGTGCGCACAGGCAACCTGAATTTTGGTGAATAAATCCTAAGCAGATCTGCAGAAATTAAATGACACGTTTCACCATTTTTCAGCATCTCTCTACTGCATGACTCCAGCACTCCTCCTCTCTGAGCAGCAGCTACTAGAGGGGGTGATCCCATACAACACCTTGGCCGGATTGTCCTCACTTCTCAGCTGACACCAGGGATGAGGGATAAGTAAGACTACAGCGAGGGGAAAGCCAGACCTCGGGATCCACCATGTTTAATGTCCATCCTTATACCTACCCCACTGCACAAGTCTGTCACCTACAAGTCCTTTGCCACCCAGTCCATCCCTTGCCCTCTTCCTACCTCCAGTGCATGCAGGTGAAGCATACAGGAATCTTGCATGAAAGAAAGGGAAAAAATTATAAAATTTCCCACAAAACCTAAGGTTCTACAAATCAAAACGAATGGACAACAATGGACCTGGGCTCTGCCTCAATGAAGGTCATCTGTCTTATACATAACCACTTCCAGAAGAGGTTTTTATCCTCCCTAGGTGATCTTACAACAGTTTCACAATGATAACAGGAAGTTTTCCCAATATGTAGCCTCAATAACTTTGGCAAATTAGCAAATCAGTAGATTAAGCTGCCATGGAAAGGAGCTTACACGTTGGAAGTCTGTTAGATTGCACAACAGCTTTCTTTTAGTTACACCGAACAAAGTGAGTTCTTTCAAACTCTTCTCACGTTTCTCAATCTTCTTTCTGGACACTTTCCAGAACCTCTGCGTCTTCCCTGGAGCAAAACACAAAACTGGATTGGATGACACTGACGAGGCCTGCAAAGCGCCGCACATGAGTAAGTCACCTCCTGTGTCTTAGGATGACACTCTTTGCAGAAGCCCACAACAGGATCCGTCTCTTTTGCAATAGCATCTCACTGATAGTCTACACTTCATTTGCAGCCCTCTAAAAATCCTTGGTCATTTTCTATTCATCACTCTCCAGCAATCCTGACTTAGTAAAGCGAGTTCTTTGATTTCTTCTCTGCACACTTCGTATCTTTCTTCATCTCTTATCTGGATTACCCTCTGGTTGTTCAAGGTCACTTTGAACTCTAACCCTGCTCTCTCCAGTGCTTGCAACCCCTCCCAACCTGATGTCATCTGAAAGCCTTATAAACACACTTCACTCTTCCAAACCATGACTGAAATATTGCAAGCTCTCCCCAGAAAGCTGCTCTATTACAGCTGTACTTGGATGAGCAGAGATCTGGGAGTGCAGATCAAGCTTTGTGCCACACAAAAACATTTTGCAAGGACGTGTTTATCTGGTCAGCTGCAACCTCTGAAAATACAGATGTTCATTTCAAAACTAACTCATGTGGTGAAGGTAGGAAACATTAAAGTTAATAGGATCCGTGTAATGGAATCAATACAAGAGAGGACCATTCCCCAGTTAATTGTGTTTTTGTGCTCTTCCAGCTACAGTTTGTCAGCCACAGGCTCAGACAAAGGAAAAGGAACCCAGATGAACCCCAAAGTGCAACATTATCCATGCAGCTGCATGAAGACAAAGATTCAGTGACGAATTAGTTCTGATTTTAGTGAGCAGCACAAGAAGAAAAGGACAGCAGGGCACAGCTCATCCCACCTCGCTTTACTTTCATACCACTGCAGCCACCAGGATCCAATTCTCAATTACTTCTAATATCGCAGCATACAAAAAGCCAAATCAGCTTTCCCCTTAAAAGTTAAGGTTCTGAAGTCATTCAGTGTACAAAATGCTAAAGCCTGATTTTAATAGATCCCATCAAGCTGCTCCCAGCCCCCCTGAGCTCCAGCAGAGCCTCCCGGTGAGGAGTGCTGGGGTCTGACTGCACCTCCCATCCAGCACAAAGGGAACGTGGAAATTTGTGGTACAGTTTCTATAGCTGAATAAATACAGCCGCTGAGAAAACATTCTGGAGAAACAGACACTTTAAAAGCCCGTTTTAATTGGAAAAAAATATTTTTCCATTATTTCCTTTTCAATGTTTACAACCCTACAAACCATTATTTTCCTAAACAGTTTTCAGCTGCAGCTTTTCCATGACATGCACAAGAAGCTCTCTCAAGCAAAGCCTTCTGAATAGACTGCAGGGAAAGCATGTGTATCTTATACTTGTAATACTGGAGCACGCTTCTTGGCACCAAGAACCCAGACAATGCTACGCTTCCAGAAACCAACACACAAGAAGGAATTTTCCCTCTTCTTTTCCATTATGTTTTATCTTCTTGTTATTCAGCCTGATTCCAATATACACAGTTTCACCTGTTAGATGCTGATAGCTTTTAACAGCCCCTGTGTACAAACAGCTGTCCACATCGCCTCGCAAACAACATGGTGCAAAACTCTCCCTCACAATCCAAGGGTTAACGCACTTCCCAGCAACTTATCCCAAGTTCCTGCAAGCAGGGGGAAGGCTGCTGAATACCTGCAGCTGCAAGCAGCGTTTCTATTTGCAACACGTCCAGAAAACCACTTTTACTAACCACAAAATGGCCCGGTAATGAGAAGGCAATGAGCACCTGAAAGACTTCTGGCTACAAAAGAGTCAGCACTAAATAAAGCAGAGGCAGGACGGGGCAGGAGAAGCGCCTTTCACGCCTGCTTTCACTGCTCCACTCCCTGCTCAACCTACATGTGTGAATTAAGCTCTATTTATAAGCCTTCCACCCATTTTCTTTTTCTTTTTTTTTTTCTAGCAGCCTTAATATAGTGCAGTTGTTATTTTGTTTCTGTCGAACTTAGCAACAGGAAACAGTGTCAGTCCTGCAGCAAACTTTCCATTCTCCTGACACTCCCATTCCTGCACCAGAAAAGCCAGATTTCTAAAGAGGTGTTTGATGGGGCGGGAGGGGTGGAAGAGAGGGGGGGGAAGAAGAGAAGAAAGAAGGCACAAAAAATCCCCATTGCCTGTCAAACATGCAAAATGGAAGCCAGACTTTGTGTTTCTTCCCTTTTCCTTCTTGTTTCGGAGGCTTGAAATGAAACGCAGGGAGCATTCCCAGGTTCTAATTTGCACTTTCTAAATATGCCTTAAAGTACTACCAGGTACGTGAGTATTAGTCACGATATCTCTAATAAAGGGTCAGTAAAACAACATCTGCATCTTCACCCTCACGCATCCCATTAATGAATATCAGACACACAAATGTTACCTCGAAAAGCCATTAGTTCTAGTCCCTGGCTAAGTCGTTGAGCAAACAGCTACAGAAATAAAGCCTTCGCTTGTTAAAAACAAAATAAACCTGATTTTATTACAAGCTTTGGCAAGACTGTGCTGCTGCCTAAAGAGCTTTACTGTGGGATGAGCAAAGTTTTTGGTGCTCCACCCTGCAGTGTTAACTCATCTTCGCAGTGCTTTTTTTTCTTTTTAACAGCTTCATCATTGCAGGCTGACACACAAACACAGCTGCTCAGCAGCAACATGCAAGAACACAGGCTTGGAGCAATTCAGCATTTACAAAATACTTTTCTTCAGGAACAAGAAGCTACGTATAAAACGCGGGAACAAATGCGCACACAGCTAAGAAAGGTGAGAGCAAAAACTCAGCTCTTGGTAAAGCAGAACGCACATTAGGGGCTTTTTAAACCAAAATCACATTCCTGTCAAGCCCAGTATTTATATTATTACTGCAAAGCAGAGGGGCCAGGGGAAACGGCGAAAAGGACACAACTCATTTTGGATCTCCAACACAACCTTTTGCTATCATTTCCCCTATCTGAAGAATCCGGGGCTTTCCCTCCTCTTTGTATATCTTCTATTCAGAACGTCACTCTGTTCATCCAGCACTGCCTCATGAGGAACCTTTGGGGCCAATCTGCACTCCTCAGACTGGAACAACCTCTCCGTGTGGCTTCACCCAAAGTGTGCTAAGTACACAAGAGCTAAAAAAGCCCATGCTATTTTTAAAAGGCTGAAACAAAACGTGACCACGACTGACGATGTTCAGCCCTGCAAAGGCTGCAGAAGGAAACCAGAGCTTTGCTGACCACCTGCAGCATTTCTTTAAAAGGCACATAAAAAACAGAAGGTGAAAATGCACAAATGACACTCACCGCTCCCTCGCGCGCTGCGCTCTCTCTGGGGTCCTTCATAAAATCCACCTCATCTTCAGTTTTCATTTTCAACTTCCCTGTGAAAAGAGAGGGTTTGCACAGGCAATTTAAAACAAACTCCTTTCAGCACTGCTGAGATTCTTCTGCTTATTCAAACCAGCCTCAAAAAAAAAAGAAAAAGAACCAACAACAAAAAACCCAAACCCCTTCAACAAGTCCATCTCACTCCCAACATCTGGTTTCATTCCTGACTTTGCTGCTTGTTTGTTATTAGTTTTAACAACTGTCGTGTCTGAGCTGAAGGAAACACTGAGAAGAGCACAAGCATGGGGAGAAGCACGCCGAGCAGTCCTGGGAGGCTCTAGGTGAGGCTGAGCACATCCACGTGTCTTTCTCCATGTATTCACTTGGCTCCCATCCCTCCAGTAAAAGAACTGAAGTTTTTTTTGCTGTTTTTGCTCTTACCATAGCCTGAAGAGATTGCAAGAAATGAGCCTTGCCTTCTCCATTGATATTTTCAGTGCTGATAAATGGCAAGCTTCAGAAATTCAGCCCTGCCTTAAAGATGGTGGTTAGGATGGGGGACCAGGAAGGCAAAGCCTTGTCTGGTGGGGTTCACCAAGTCCCAGCTGATTCCCACTCTTCACCACCACTGTGGTACAAACACCATCCCAGCTGCTTTCTTTGCCCAGCAAAACTACAAAAGCTTTCATCAGTCACCACTCCCCAAGGGTTCCTTCCCTTCTGTGTACCTTTCCCTGGCATTAACATCAAAGCTGTAAAAACCTCTTTCCCTCAAGCCAACACCTCTCACAACACACGTGAACACAAAGAATGAACACAAAACCAAAAATGTTTCAGTGACAGGATTTCTGTCTGCAAAGCAGTATGTCCAACAGACTCATTTATGTCTGTGGCAGTGCCATAGCCATGCAGCCCAGGCTGAAGAGCAGTGCAATGATTTGGCAAAGCCACCCATGCGTTAGGGCTAAAAACCCTGCCCGAATCCCATTCCCTTTCTGACTTCTACAAAAAACAACCAATGAACATCAACACCTTAAGGGAGATGCACATTTCCAGTGGCTTTTTCTCATTTGAGGAAGCAATTTTGCAAGAGGTTTGATCCATGTCCACTGGAAAGCTGCTGTGACCGCTGCTGCCGATTGGCTTTCCATCTGCTTTTGACTCTGGGGTCTTAGGAATATTTGCAAGGCACTACTGACAAACAAACTCAAGTTGGCATAATTTCATCGCAGTGAGTTTGAGTACTGCTACAGATAGACTCTCAGAAATGACACAAGTTTCTGAGAGTCCCATTTATTAGAGAAGCAGAAATCATAGTCATGGGGAGAACAGCTTGGGGTCACAGCAATGCCATGGTGGGGAGAAGCATGTCCTGACAACATGTCCTCTGTACAACTGAACAAGTTACTGAGTTTCCACTTCCCCACCGGAGAAACACTAATTACACTTCCCTCCCTGATAATGGACAACCCCAGCAGTGTTTGTGGCACTGTGATGTCCTGAACGTAGTGGCAAGAATTCTGCTCCTTGTGAGGCCATCAGTTAGCATTTCAGCTCAGTTCTTTTGCACTCCTCCACTTGAGCCTGAACAGCTAGAACCCCAAAGCAGAACCTAGCATTATAATATTATAAGAGGCTTCTGGGGGCACAGAGCACCTTATCACACACATAATCAGTGTCATTTCTTACCAGCTCATCCTGCTACTCTACAAGGGGAAGGAGCCTGTAGCAAGCACTCATTTACGGAACCATAAGGTGAAATATAAGGTGATACACTTCTACCTTGCAATGAATGTTTGTTTTTGAGATCCATAGCAAGAACATCCAGGAAATCTCTCCCAGAAGAGGCCTCAGCAGTAACAATTACAGTATTTGTTAATGGCTATAAGGCACCAGACCCCAGCTACACAGCTTGACTTCACCGGGGTCGCCTGCTGTCAAGAAGCTGCATCAGCTTGGAGGCATTTGTCAGCACAGCCCTATATAATTACAAATACAAACTCAAAATATTAAAAATCCAATTTTTGATTTGGAGTCATGGCAGCAGCAGTACCAGCTGATTGAGTCTCTGATAAATTAGCATGACAATAAGCCTCTGACCACACGCGTTTCTGAGAAATGGCCTCATGACCTACACTTCCTATGAGAAGGCTCTATTGTAGCCTATTGAGACAAGATTTGATTCATTCTGAGCACACCAGCGACTCACAAAATGCTCCACACAGCCCCAGACTGCAGGGAAAACTCCGCAGCACTGACACAGCAGAGAGGAATTCACACGGAGCCCTGACAGACCAAGGACACAAAACACACACACCGAGCAGGCATCAACACGAGTGATGCATGCAACACCAGCAAACACCCCTCTGACGTCTCCAACTATTATTTTTTCTGCTTCAGTTACTGTCTTATAGGGCTTTTGAGTCCCTTCTCCTTTAAAAACTCCTCTACACAGCCTCATGCCTCCAAGAACCCAACCAGAGAGAGATCTGAGCTGTAAGGAGGCACAGTCCAAGCAGCTCCCCACATTAACACTCCCAGGTGTTGCCTTACAGCCACTCCCATCCTATTGAAACTTCAAACTGCCAGAGCACAAAAACAAATTTCCTTCTGCAAGCAGCTGTCTAATGCACCTTGATGCCATCCTAAGTATTTACTAGTGAACTCCTGAGTAACGTTTACTGATTCTCTCTTGACAAGTCAACTTCCTAAAGCTCAAAGAACTCGAAGAAAAAAACATTACTAACAGAGAACCCCCCATAAACCAAACCTTTCCCCCACCCCCAGTTATTCTGCCTATGCCACCCCTCTCTCCTGTATTCAGACTAAGGAAAAGCTCCCAGCATCACGTCAGTGAAATACCTTAGAACTTTAGAACTGCATGATTTATATCATAGCAGATTTGCTTTTAAATCATTTCTATCTTATTGTCTGCTTGCTTGCTTATTCAGTGCTGGGAAAGAGAATGCACTGTATAATTATCTCATAGCAAAGAAAAAAACAGCAACTGAGAAAGTTCAGCCACTTGCATCCAACAGCTGCTGGAACAGGTGGGATGCAAAGGGAAGCCCAGCTGCACTGAATTCACCTACAATTTAACTCCAGGCTGCAGTGACAAGCTCCTTTCTCCCTCCTGCAATTCATCCGCTTGTTCCCCATCTCTTGGCGTTACCTGAGGCAGTTTTCTATCGGCTCATGCAGCACAAAAGCAGGTCTGAGCTGTGCCCACAGAGGCTGTGCTCCCCACCATCACACCGCTCCCTCCCAGCAGATCCCAGCAGTCAGGCGCTGACTCCTCGCTGCATTCCCACCCTGCTGAAGTGCACTGGGAAACACCCGGCTGTTCAGCCCGACAAAAGCCTCGCAGACAGGAAAAGGCAGAGGGGGCAGGGCTGGCCCTCTCTTTAAATGACCTAATGCCACCAATTAGGAAGTGGCTTTGCACAGTTCAGAAGGACACCAGCAGCTGTTTCAGTAAAGGAAAGAAAACGCAAAGCAGCACTGCTCAATCTTCTGATTTCATGCTAGTAAAAATACAGGGGGAAAAGTGAAGGAATAGCTCAAATTAGCACTAAGCAAACAAACCTCGAGGCCCAAGAGCACAGCATGAAAATACGGGAGTCTAAATATCTCTCCCATTCATCCATTCCCCAGAAGGGATGTATGTGCTGGAAACCCTTCTGCACAGCTTCATATGACATGATGTCCTTTCCCGGCCTCAAGTGCCAGCCAAGTGCCATCCTTTTCAACTCCAAGTTTAAAGTTCAACCCCAACTTAAACTGTAACTTCAGTTTTCTCTCTCAGATGAGGAGGAGGAAAAAAAAAAGAAAAAGCAAACTCCAGACACCTACACTTCCCCTGCACAGCAGCCCCTTGCACTCACTTCCCTTCCTTTGCTGATGCGATGCTAGAGGCAAACCAACAAAGGAAAGCTACGCAGCATTAAAGGAAGTGATTTTCCATACCTGTGGCAGGCTTGGTTCCGCGAATGGCCTGGCTGACGTCCTTTCTGGCAGAGGATCTTAAATCTGCCTCTCCGTTAAGGCCAGCTGCCACATCCACTGCAGGCTGGGGCTCAGGCCCCACTTTTCCTTCAGCTGGTAAGCCAGGAGATGAAGGGGTCTCAGCTGCAAAAACTACGGCATCAAAACTTTTTACCATTTTAGGAACTTTATCCAGAGAAGAGCCATCATCTGCCGAAACTGAACTCTTTACTCCCACATGCTCGGGTGACTCAACAGCATTGAAGCCAGAGGAGCAGGGTGAAGGGGTTGGCTCCGATATGCCTTGGCTTTGCTTACCCTCAGGCTGTGCTGTGACCAACCCTTGTGCTGCTGTCGAAGTGGGAGCAGAATCGCCATCACCGCCTGGACCCATGGTGTCACTGCTGGAGTCACTGTCACACGTGGGCTCCTCCGCAATGGGCTGCAACGTGGCTCTGGGAAGGACACTTTCCATCTCCCCCTGCTCTTCCTCATACCCTGTGATGGAGGTTACCGCTGCTATCTGCAACGCTTCCTCAGCCTCAAAAGCAAGGCTCGGGGCTTCCATTGCCAAAGCATCCTTCAATTCGGGGGTGCTGCTGCGCGGGGAGACATGTTGCAGGTTTGAACCACGCTCCTGGGGCAGCCCTGCGTCCAGACAAGGGTTACTCCCTGCTGCTGGCCCAGTTCCTTGCATGATGCTATCTCCTGCTCCTGCTGTCCCAGCCTGGTTTGGGCCCAGCTCCTTCAGCCCAGCACCCGCATCACTGCTGGCTGCGGGCCTCTCTGCACTGCCGACAGAGGATTTCACAACTGTGGCAAGCAGATTCTCCGACAAAACCTGCTCCTGGCTGCTGTTTGAGGCCTCCCTCTCAGCTTTGGCTGTATCTTCTCCTTCAGCATGAGGCTGTAGGCTTTGCTTGGGAGGGCCTGGGGCCCCCGCATAGTCCTCCAGCACGCCGGCCACCCCGCCACGCTCCTGGCTGTGCGGCGGGGCCAGCTCAGCCGATCCTGCTGCTGCCACTTCCTGCTTTTGTTTAGATTCTTCATTACGAATTACAAAGGGTGTGCCTACAAAATTATCCTCTGTACAGTCTGCGCCCTTGGAACATGGAGGTAAAACAGGGTCACTACTGCACAGGGGTGTCTCCTGTCCAGGAGGTGCCACTATAGCATCTCCTGTCCGACCTGAAGCCAGGTCCCCTGCATCAGGATGGGGCATCCCTTGCCCTGAAGCAATTTCTGTTCTCTCTTCAGCTTTTGGAGGCTCCTTCCCTGCTGAGAACGTGCTTGCATCCTCCAGAGGGAGCAATCTGGGCTCCTGCACACTCCCTTGAGTGCCATCCAGCTTTAACTTGTCCCCTGTTTCATCATTAACAGTAGTTTGATCAACAGGAGGGCAGCAGCTAGCAACTTCCTGAGCTCTGTCTGCAGAATCTATGCTTCCTCCCTCTCTGCTGCTGCTGGTATCAGTTCCCACTGGCTCCTTGCTGTGGGCTCCACTGCCCTCCACAGCTTTGCCTATACACTCAGCAATGTCACTGCTCCCCTGGCAATGTGTGGGTTTTTCACTGCTTTGTTTAGTTCCACCAATATTGCCATTTTCAGCTCTAGCATCAAGGCCATCAGTTTCCACGCTGTCTTCCAGGGAGGGTGAGCTGGATTTGCCATTTGTGCTACCCACTTTCACCTGCCCTTCAGGTTCCACACTCTCCCTGCTGTCTTGGCTTTCCGCATCAGGAAACACTGGCACACACACAGGTACCTTCACTCCATTCACTGAAGGCAACGGTGCCCTGGTGCTCGCAGCGACTCTTGGCCTTTCCTTGACACAGGCACCACCTTTGCTTTCCAAAACTCCATTGTTTACCAGATCAGTGCCTGACACTCCAGTCTTATCATTATCACCACTCTTGCAAAGACCAACAGAGACATCAATGTCAACATTTGCATTTGTACTGTCACACTCCGGTACCACTCCCACATTTGCATCCTCCCCACCTGCATGCTCAGTGCCATTAAAGCCATCAAGCAAGGGCTGAGCAACACTTGCGGGTTCTTCCTCAGCTGGCAATGGTTCTCCTGGATCCTCAGTCCTCGTTGCAGGGGTCTCAGCCATCCCATCCTCTACCTGCTGCTGGCCCGGCGCCCTGTCAGCTGCCCCAGCACAGTTCCTGCACTCGGTCTGGCCCATGGCCATATCCACGCCCTCTCGGGAAGCTGGGGCTTCACCGGCAGTTTCAACCACAGCAACAGTACTTTCAGCTGCACACTCCTCAGCAGCTCCCACTTCCTGATGGGTGCTATCTTTACTGCACAAGCCGGCTTGATCCAAAACAACTCCAGCAGATGTCATTCCAGCTTCCTCATTTGTATTTCCACAGGATGGGAGATTTACAGCACCGTTGACGCCTGCACACGGGCTGACTGTGCAGCCGTTCTCATCAGATACAGTCCCGGAGCTCTGAGCAGAGGCTGGCCCCTCCTCTTCCTTTTTACACAACGTCACCGTATTTTTGCTTTCACAGGAGCACTCTGGGCTCTCCACCACCCCCAGACTCAGCGAGCCGTTCGGCGCATCAATAGCACCAGTTATCAGTGACCTACTGGGGCACTCGTCCTTCTGGTGGGCTTGGTCTGAGAGCTGCCCACTGTCAAGGTGAAGGACATCAGATGGACTTTCCTTCCTTCCTTCTTCTGGCATTTCTCCTAGGCTTTGAGATGAAGCAGTTGAGTGACCAACTGGCTCAGCTCCATTGCCACAGCTATTTCCAGAGGCTCCCAGTACAGTCTTCGTCCGCTTCCTTGAACTCTGTTAAAAAGCAAAAAGAAAATTTTGATTATTTTGCTCTGTCACACTCTTACACTGTATTCAACATGTATAAGACCTATATCTTAACAATACAAACACCTATTTTATGTGGCTCCTGCTGTACACCTGCATGACGCTTGCGACCCCTAGGGCAGAACCACAAACATCACATATTGATTTGCTATGCAGTAATACTAAAATCATTAGAATAACAGAAACATTAGCTGGAAGAAGCATCTGGAGGTTGTGCAACCTCCCCTCTGAAGTTGGCCTCTATCAGCAGTGCTCCGTCAGATCAGGCATGACTCTGGCATGCCAAATTCCAAAAGCCTCCAATGATGGAGGAACAAGCATCTCCCTGAATAACCTCCTTCAGTGCCACCCCACCTTCCTGTCAAGGATTTTCTTCCTAGCAGCATGTCCAAAATACCCAGAGCTGAAATTTGTCCCTCTAACTCCTTGCTACACCATCTGCAGAGTTCCGTCATTTTTGTCACTGCTTTTGAAGTAGCTGTACACTTATTTCTTCAGTGCACTTCAATCCAAGATCAGCAAACAGCAGAATTCAATCTACCAAATAATGGTCCCAAAGGGCCGAGCAAACATTGCTTGAGAACAACTTCAGATCCCTGCCCAACGGCACCTCTCCAGTTCTGATCAGTGTTGCCCTGTTTCCCTCTCCTGTAGAAACACCACTTCAGACAAGGCAGTCGGCTGTCAATGTCTTATCACAGCCACTCGTCTCCTACTTCTAGGACCAAAGTAATCATCTAATCCCTCCTAAGAAATGCATGCATAATTAAATATCTGAAATATATTTCCTAAGTGGAAATGAAAATTTCAAAATGACAACATCCTATTAAAATTAATATGTGCAATATTGTGGAACAGTAGCTAAGTACTCAGTTCCTGTCTAATCTGCATTTCCTTTCAAGCATGTCCACTTTGTCCAGCGTTCACTATGCTTTATAGCTAGATACAATCAAATCTTTACTTAAAAAGAGCCATCTCTGCTTTAATATCATCTTTTTATTCTCCTCTCTGCTGTATTCTAGTGTTCAGGAATCAGAAAAAAATGATTTGTTAAAATAATGAGCAAGCCCAGCCCTTCAGAGGAAACCCCACAGAGCTTCCTTGGTTTTCTGTAGGAAGCAGCTCTGAAGGCAAGCTCTGGGCTTTCACTGCATGCTTTCAGAGGGCACACTGCTTTCTCAGTCAGCAGGATGGGACTGCCTGCAGCTCTCTAGAAATTCAGCACTCTAATGAATCTATTTCAAACTTCTTTATTTTTTGCATATACAGGCAGTGGCGACGATCTCTGCTGCCCTCAGGATATTGTGTTTGCTATTTTTTCCACAATCTGAGGTTTGCAACTGTGACCACTGCCACCAACTCACTGAATCACAGACCACTAAACCTAATTCTGGTGTCTGTGATGGCTCTCCTATTTGAAATAATCCCTTCACCTCGCTCCCACACAGCTGATGATGCTGCCAGCCATGGCACAGCTCATGTCTTCTGAGGCAGCCTAAGGCAGGTGAGTCCAGGAGGCAGGCAGCATGGGCTTGCAAAGCTGCCATCTCCATCTAACACCGTGCTGCTGGCCTCCGGTCAGGATGGATGGATGGATGCAGACAACGGGACACTTGCTCTGGAACGAGCACGGATTTCAACAGGAGGGTCCAAAGCAGCCCCAGCATCATCATGGCAAAGTCGCTGTGCCAACAGACTGAAAAATACAGCCGTCTTCAAAGGAAGCCAACTGGCTTCTAACTGACCCTAAATGAACCTAAATGAAATAATTACAGGGCTGCATTCCAAATCCAAATCAGATTAGACGTGAAGTGAAACAGCGCTGGAAAGAAAAAGTCTAAACATAGCCTTTTGTGATTTCATTGTCAGACATGTACACGTCTGGCATTCGCTCCAGCAAACATGAAACAAGCTCGATATGCTGGCCGTGTACAGCGCTATTTGATGGAAAGGAGAAGCACAGGGAGGAGACTTCGTGGTAAGTTCTGCTGTACCACCAGTTCCTGCTCAGGTCGGGAGTAATTAACACCACCCACTCAAAGAAGGGTGACGATGGCTTGGGTGGCCAACAGCTTTGGACCCCATTTTCCTGCAGACAACGGTTCTCTCCTTGCTTGTTAAGGGAACAGAAACCCCCAGGAGCAGTGTTATTTAAACTCCACACCCCCCAGCAGCAGTTCTGTGGGTGATTAAACAGTGGCAGTCATGCTACATGCAGAGCGGTTCTGAGAAATAGCACAGAAGCGTCTCGCTGCTTCATCTTCCTCTCCTGAATGAGTCCCTTGGGCACTGATTTTCAGGCACTGAGGGGCAATGTCCAAAGTCCCTGCCTCGTGTCAGCGCTGCTCCTGTCACCAAACCACCATGGGCCCCAGCAAGGGCAGGCCTGTGGGTACGCACACTGCATGGCTGGGGTTGGCTTGTCCCCTGAGTCCCGCAGGCACGAAGAAAACCACTGTTTTCTCCATCAGCATCCCAAAGGCTTTCCCTTCACTCTTCTCTCTGACCCTTTCTTGTCTGGACAGAGACATATCTACTGTGCTAACCCCTACTGACCCCAAGACCCTCCAGAGCACATCTAATGCAACTTGACACTCCTCTCTGCCCTTCTTATGTGTTCTTGTGCTAAGGATGCCCCAAACAAAGGTAAAGGCAGGAAACAAAAGAGAAAACAGGTAGGTTTCTGTCTAGACTCACTACTAAACATGCACCCAAATGGTTCCTATATGTGGACATCCCTCCCAGGTACCAGGCTGCTGCAAACACACACTTCTCCTTCTGTTCAGTCACCACAGGGGTTTCCTTACCACGTGCTGGTGGCTTTGCATGTGCATCTGAAGCTGCCGTATGTCACTCTCCAGGCTGGCTTTTGTCCCTTCCTTGGTTTCAGCTGTTAGCGTGTAAACATCGAGCTGCTGGTGGTGCTTGACGCAGTAGTCCCCAGTGTGCACAGTGTGAGACAGGGTGCTCCACGAGTCGGGCTCCGTGGCTTCCTCTCTGAAATACAAGCAGTGCGGGTTAACCTGTGAGTGAGAAGGAATGCTGCATTGCAGGCGCACGCTGTTCTTCACGCTGGACAGTCATCTAATCAATGGCCCAAGAGAAGCAGAGCACAGGCTCCAGGGCCAGACAGCCGAACACGCATGCACACACGTCTCCATCCTGGAAATGAAGGTGACTTACAGCTAACTCCAGCCACCAGCTCTATTTCACAGCCTTTCTAAAGTAGAGAGACCTGCTGTTTTCCCCTAGACTGGAAGAGCGTGAGTGACAAACAGCAACAAGGGGTACAATTGCTTTTTAAACAGAACCTATTGCAGGTGTAGATCACCAGAGTAGCTGCTGTGGAACAACAGATACCTGAGAGACAGACCACAGTGGGACAAGTCAGAGGGAGTGACAATTCTGTGATACAGATACTACAACTTCTACACTGAAACCAGCACGCCTCTGCACAAAAACCTAACAGCCATCAGCTTGTAGCAGTTTTGTCACTCCTGAAATGAATTTTGCTTGCCCTGTGAAACTGCTTCTATGCAAGTCATTCTCTCTATTATGAGACAGCCAACTTTCTGCAGTAATAACACAGACGTTCTTTTTACCAAAGGAAAAGAGGATAAAAGGGTGCTGCTATAGATTTCAGATTGAAAAAATAACTCAGCAGTTACTTCTTGTCAGTAGAAATTTCTACCTAGTCATCTCAAAGCCAAACCCTGACTGTGAACAAGTTTGCAATCCAATGCTGTACCACCTCGTGTGGCTGCTGCCACCAAGCTGTACAGAGACAACATGGGCACAATAAGGGCGTGTGGAAGCACTCACCTTACCAAGGTGCTCACCTAAAGCTTCAGGTCCAGAACTTCCATTTTGAATCAGAACTGGCTCAGGGTAGCAAAGATCTGTTTCAATGATCATAAGGCCAACTGAGAGCCACAGCCAACGGAGGGCTAACAGCTGCCTCCACAGTGCCCCAGCGCAGTGATCCAACCCCTCCCTGTGAGTCATTTTGGGTAAAATCAGGACACAAAGCAAAACTATGCCTTCCACCCTTCTCCACAACGTAACTCAATTGACTTCTGCAGAATTACTCTTGATTTAAACAGAATCAATATTTCTATAGAGAAGCAGGAGGAAGCGTACAGTTTTTTGTGGTTGTTAGTACAAATCCAATCATGGAGGCACTGAAGTCGACCAAGACATCACAAGCACAAAGAGGCTACGGAAATGACCTTCCTTTATCAAGGAAATACAGACATTTCTGTATGGACTATTTTTCTTTTCAGCTGCCATGTATGAGAAATCACTGTGCTCAGGGCCTACTATCAAAGCACGATGAAGCAGTCATCACAAAAAACCATATTCACCCATTCATGAAGCCGCCACCAGCAGGCTTCCAGAACACAACAGCCTTCTCCACTTTCTCATCAGCTTCAAGTATACTTACTAGCAAACAGGCACCCACAGAGCAGCCTGCAGAGCTATAGCCTCAGAGAACCCTCAAAGGCTTCAATACCTGGAGTGGGATTGCAGGAGAGCACGGCGCCCTGCAACATGATGAGCGCATCCCACCATTGCTACCGCTGCTGCAATCTGCCACCTCCATCTTCTGCAGGTCAGGCGGATCATTTGTGAGCAGCGGTGATTGCTGCTGATTCAAGACAGCACTTCCTTTCCATATTAGTTGTAAATCTGCTTTGCAGTCTACAAAGGGGCTTATAAGCCTTTTGGAATAGCCTAGATCTTTCTCACATCACAACCTAACAGATAACAGAGCTCTCATTTTTAGGAGCAGTCACCCATGTTGTACATAATTAAGATGGCTCAATCCACCGACTCCTCCAAGTCATACAGACACATCCAGGCACTGATGTACTGCAGCAAAGAGGACAAATGAGTGCTCACAAGTGTCAACTTGTTTGCACACTGCTATTTCTGTTGCTCAGACAATCACTTTCAAGAGGACGTAGATCACATGAGAATGCCCTCCTGCTCCTTTGCCCCTGTGTTGAGCTTAACCATTTGTGCGTCTCCTTTCTGGCTCACTGCAAGCCCTACCTTCTATTGAGAAATTACAAAAACATACATTCTTTCCGAAAATAGGATTTAGACCTATGTTTACTGCTCCCTCATTATGAAAAGCACTCATTTTGTACAGATTAGCAATTTCTGCAGTGGTTGTAATTGTACAGGAGTACATACCCAAGGCGAACTACTAGGAGATAAAAACAAAAACGCAAATATTTACTGAAGATTTATTAACAGACATAGATAGAAACTCCAGCATTTAAGTAGCCTGAAAATCTGCTTTCATTCAGCGAAAGTCTTAACCACAGTTTGCCTACAACAGGGGAAGCAAGGCTTACAGGATCTGACCATCCTGGGTCAATTCTTTCTGCCCTTTCAACAGAAATACTTGGGAGACAGCACTGAACAGAAAGTTTCCCTTATACCAACTTTGAGCCAAACTTTCGCTGATGGAAGCATCTCCCTTGGCACAAAAGTGAAGGACTGACCAACGAAGTCCACAGTGGTCATATGAATGCCTTCACCTCCAGCACAGCCCGCGGCACTGAGCCGTGTCCCACTGAGAAAACCTGGCAGGAGTCTCCAGCCCCGCTCTCCACTGCTTCACGCCCATTTTCTGTTGCACAGAAAGGAAATGCCTGCCTTCATGAAAGAACAGTGCTTGCATGGAGAAAGACTTACCAGCGGCCTTTCACCCATGGAAACGGGGCTCAAGGAAGGATGTTGACCCCAAACACAGCGAGCGGAGGAGCAAACTCAACCCCTCACCACCTCCAAAATGCTCTTGGGCCATGACTCAAACCACAGCATCACCGGCACATCCAACACATGAGAAACTACAAGCGATACTATTTTTTAGACTTCCACAAGCAAGTGCCATCCCCGTTGAAGGAGGAGCAGAGCGCCGTATTTGTGTGCAGATCTATTCTGGTCTTGTAGTGAAGCTGATAGGATGGCCCCCAGCCAAGGAGGGGAGGAAAGCAGCAGAGGAACGGCTGCAACGACCCAGTGCAGCTCCCAGCTTCCTGCAGATACAGGCAAGATATTTATAAAAAGAGGGAAGATAAGCGAGAGGGGGAGAATAACAAGCGCTCTGACTGGAGGAAAAGCCCTTCAAAGTTTCAGAAGCGGTCATCAGTTGGAGTGGTTTGAAATTTGGCTCCGTCAGGGCTCCAAAAGAAGCGCCTTCCCGTACACAGATAATAGGATTTATCCAAAGGGGAGAGGAAGGCTGAGGAAGAGATTGGACAAATGATCCAAACAATCTCAGTGGGTTAAGCAGAGCCTCACACTAGGAAGGGGGATCCCACAGGCGGAAGGCAGTGCAGGAAGTCAAGGTGCTGTTTCCTGGGGAAATCCCTTCACATTTCTCAGCCAGACCTTGGCTGGGACAAAGCAAACCCAGCAGCACTGCTGGCTCTTGGGATCCTACTGTGACCTTAGCCACAGCTGCGGGGTGGTTCTGAAAGCATCAGATTCATGTGATAAAGAAAATAAAATCACAATTAAAAAAAAAACAAAATAAAAGTGCTATGGTTATGGCAAAAAGCTAGGAAATGCTAGAATTTAGATGCTCTTTTCTCTAAGACAAATAAAACCTACACTGGATTTTAGTGTCACATATCTTACATTCCTATTCAAATTTTGATTTATGGCTGTTATTTTGATAACTCACTGAAAATACGAGATCAGACAGATAGGCTGACTGTGGTCCGGGATAAACAAGGAACGGTGCCTACTGGGACAGGAAGCTGGGCTTTGGTGGCTGTTGCACAACACGTCCCTAACACTAACAACTTACATACATCAAGCCAACAGCCCCTCCAATGAAAATCCACACCCAGATTTATCACAGTCACCAGAATGTCAGAGCAAGACTCCAGAAAACCATAACAAACAAAAGGCAGTTTCCTCAGCTCATCACACACAGGGGTGTGGGGCTCCAAAGTATCTCCTTGTTCTTCAAACAAAACTGCAGGCAGCCAGCAACAACCAGCTACTGATAATGCCAACAACTGCTCATTACTAATTACAATTAATGCTTAGTGGAAATGCTATTACTCCTGAAAGGACTCAGTGTGTCCCTTTTGACTGTGTGTTCCCTTCGTATCCTTTTAACAGTTGTTTTTTTTTGTTTTGTTTTGTCCCACTGCAAAGTAAATGGAAACAGATAAGACAGTAAATCAATGCTGTTGCAGAATGTTGGGTAACACAGGCCTTGTATGGGTCTGATCAGCTCTTTGTCAACAGCCCCACTGTCTTTAATGGCATACACAGCACAAGTGCACAGCAGCACTTCCATATCCCTCCCCATTTTTTGGAATATCAGTATGTATCATACAGGAGGACTCAAAAAACACATGCAACTGACACATGGTAGAACGGGTTAACACAAATGGACTGCTCATACACAGGAAAATGATTTAAAGACAGTGTTTATACCTCAGGTGAGTGTACCAAAAGCTATTGGAAAGCAGGAGAAAAGAAAAAAAAAAGAAAACAAATATTTCTCACATAAGGCAAATCTTCTCACTAACTGGAATGCTTTTGATGTTGAAGGAAACAGTTCATCGCTGCAGAAACGATGAGTAACCACTTACGGTGCTCCACGCAAATGTGAACAGCAGAGGGTTTGCATGCTGAACTGAGTTCAGGACTGCATGACTAGCCCTCCAGTATCAGATTAAATATCCAACAACTGAATTCAAGATATTTAACGCTAACTTCTCAGCCCAACAATCAACACACTATACAATAGGAAATCATACCAGAGAAGAAAGCTGGCTTGTTCCCTCAACAGTTATTTACAGACTTGCAATCCCAGGACAAGTCCAGTTATCTTAACAAATGCGATATATTTTCTACATCAGGGGGTCTGAACTCTAAAACCCAAACATTTCTCAGGCCTCATCAAATATATTTACCAAACTCTACAGCGCACATTCCACAGGAATAGCTGCCTGTTGTTACATCCATTTTTGCATTAGTTTCACCTTCCTAGCTTTACCTACAAAGGAAGATCTCAGTATGGATTTTGGAGCACTCCAGGAAAAGAGTAAAAGCTGGTGCATGCAATGAGTGAGTAAATGGAAGGTGGGAAGCAAGAATGCCTCTTGCTCCATCACGCTGTCCCTGCTGCTGTCTGTTCCCCTGCTGTAATGCCATGACCAGAGGAAAGCCACAGCATCTCAGCATCCTTTTTGCCAGGATGAACTAGCAATTAAAAAACTCTGTTGCAAAAAAAATCATCTGGAAGTTCAGCAATAAAGCACCTGAAACTAGATGCCTGTTGGATCACTACTACTCCCATGCTTCTGTACCCAAGCAGCAGCATCTTAACACACAGATCTCTCATCAGATCCTCCATCTTTGCCCTTTATTTTCTCTGAACATCCCTTTAAATGGCAATTAAAAGGTTTATTGCTTGGTTTTGTATGGAAGAACAGAAGGAAAAACAGGAGATGCATCAGCATTACTTCAGTAAATTCTTCAGCTGCTGATTCTGGTTAGCACAAATGCAAAGTAGAGCAAAGCAATGGGCAGGCGATGCTGCACAACCTGCAGGACACCTGCATGTCCCCAGCTGCCTCCTGCTTCTTGCACAGGGAACCACAGAGAAAGAAATAACAGAGAGGAGACTCAGAGTGCTGCCACTCAGCTCACAGTTTGGGAAAGGGTGCAGAGAGGACCAGGTCAGCACACTGTAACGCACTGCCACAGCCTGGCACCAAACTCACTGCAGTCGGTGATGTTCCCAGCCCAAACACCCTGTGATTTCAGAATGCACCTGCACCACACACAGCCGAAGACAAACTGGACATTTCTGAAATCAAACGCGCTTCATGGACTTGCTGAACTGGTGTGTAAAGAAACGAGACACCAGACAAATCCTCTTGCAGCCCTGGCCCAGAAAAGCAGCAAAGAACTCTCAATTAGAAAAGTGACTGAAAACCCTTCCTCATCTGCGAGGCACCACGGAGATTACAGCACAGACATCACCAATTACTTACACAAAATCAGAACAATAGCAAGTGATTATCAAGCATTGCAAAATGTTCACAAGAAACTTCTGCTACCAGCAAGCTGTTCCTTATGTGTGTTAATTAAATCTAGGTCAGTTTAACTTTGGAAATCTGCACTAATACTGGTTTATGGCTTCACATTCTGGGACACCACGCTGCTACCCAAAGGTTTGACTCACAGAGACACACAGAAGTGCTTCATGGTAATAAGAGGCCAGCAGAGGAAACAGAAAAGCAAAGTGAATGCAAGAAGCACAAGAGACTTGTGCTCTGTATCTTCCCCTATGCACTGACTGGAAAATGCAGGAGTTTTTCTTACAGACATTACTTTTCTTTTACCCTCACTCTCAGCCTGCAAAGGAACACCACACATTCGGCTTCACTGAAAGAAGAAAGAGATCAAAAGATCCTTTTGGGCTGCTGGACGGAACTTTGCTCTGCAGAAATGAAATCAGGTTACAAAATGAGAGTATGTTTTACAGAACAGCACTCCGACTCCGAAATTCAGAACACAAGCTATTTCTTGGAGCCATTTTACTTGCCTGACTTACACTGAAGAACATGGAGCTGGCAGGCAGATTATGTTACTACACTGAACCATATTAAAAAACATCAACTACTGCAAAACGCAGCCGTCCTGTTGCAGAGGCCAAGTTACTCACCCTGCCCTGGTTAGAGCCCTGCTGCCTCCTTGGAGCCCAGTCTTTGCACAGCACAGCAGAGCTGCCAACGCCCTGCAGCCAGCATTGCCCAATTTAAACATGAGGAAGCAGCAGGCTTCAACAAAGGAGCCTTCATTTTTCAATTCACTTCTCCCGCACTGGGGAACTGTTGAAACTCAGAGAGAGCTCATGCTGCCTGCTTCCCAAGGCTTTTCTATGGGAGATCAGGTGCATCCAGCCCTGCCAGCAGCTCTGGGTGCATCCCTTCTGCCAGAGGATGCACACCACAAGCTCCAGCCTACAGTAAAAGAAGCTTCCAGACTTGCAGCTCTGCAATGGAAGGCATCTTGCATCCTTAAAACGAACTTAAGAGCTGAAAAGAGAAAGCTCATCTGACAAACAGAAATTCCAAATGTCACCAGCGTCATTAGTTTTTGAGAAAAATATTTACACTGCAGCTGAACCCAGACAAAACTGCATCAACAGAGGTTTTCTGTCTGTTTTTTTAATGATTCTGCCTTAATTACAGCAGAACTTCACCCCTTCCCCACACTGACGAAGAGAAGAGTTGTGAAATGCAGGGTCCTACAAATTAGCAACCAAAGCGAACAATAAAATCCCCCCAAGGATAATGCAACACAAAACATGCTGCATTCATTTATTTTGCAAAGTGGAGCTTAATTACTTGTAAAAATAATGGCTCCTTTGTACAAGCTCTCACTAACATGCGTTGCTGCTCCGTATTTTGCTGAGTGGTACACACTGTGTGCCAAATGTGTGTGCATGGTTTATACAGCCTGTGCATAAGCAGAGTGCAGAAAAGAGGTTGCACAGTATCCATTGTGTTTTGACAGCACATAAATAATATATACTCTTGTCATGGAGTTTGGCTGCTCTTCCCTGTTCTGAAACTCACTATTTCTCTTCCCAGTATGGATTTTCAGGCACTGATCCCCTGCAACTGCAGAAAGCACCAAGCATAATGAAACTTCTGCTATGGAAACAGGCCACCTTCATTGCATCCACCATCCACTGGAAGCTTTTTGGAGTAACAAGATGCATAGCACACCTGTCAGATGGTTAGGCATGGTATTTCCACCCAAGAGGAAAACTAGACATAATTCTGCTTAACTCACCTACATGGTTTTAAGATGCACTAAAAAGAACTAAAAAGGGTGCTACAGTATCTTGTGTTCAAAGATGTACTGCAAAGGTCACCAGAGAAATTCCTTAGATTACACCAACAGCAGCTGTCCCAGTGATTAGCAGAGGGCAATGCCACATAACCAAGTGCTTTTGCTTATTTTCCCACCAAGAAAGGACTGCACTGGAATTGCTTGTGAAATACATGAACAGCAGTTGTAACAGCTCTGCTAACTTGCCACATCTTTTAAAATTACCGACTCCGCTCATTCAGATCACAGTGTTTGCTGTGAGCTTTATAATCAAGTTTTGGTCAATTCAGACTTTGTGATAGTATGCAAATTCTGTCAACATCATTAGTCTCACCTTGGAGCTCTTGGCTGCAGTTTCAGGATGAATTTGCTTATTCCAGTTTTACAAAGCAGCCTGCGAGACCGTTAAGTATTTTCACATTATGACTGCTGTCGAACTCACGTGGGAAAAAGAGAAACACTGCCACCATCTCTGTATTGATCCCAGCCAACAGTGGTGAAGAAAAGGTCAGACAGAGCACAGCTCCTGTCCCACCCCTCCCTTTCTCCTTCACCCTACCTGCTATGTGGTTGGCTTCACTGCCTCAGATGAAACTTAAATGCAAGCACATGAGCAACCAAACTTACTTAGCTGCCTCTAACATCCTGTCCAACAACTATAGAAAACAGAATAATTTACAATTTGTAGCATAAAGAAACGTTGCGTGAGAGCATGGACAACACAGAAGAGTCCTAAACATGACACTGGGTCACTGAATATAAAGTCTAAGCATTTGAAAATTCCCATCAGGGAAACAAAGTTAATAACAAAGCTTAAGAGAACTGGGCATCAGAACAGCAGACATGCAGACCAAAACTTTTACAAACAGCCCTCCCGCCCCAGAACTTATTTAAAGCTCTTTGTCTTTATTAGCTGCAGCTTTTAAAGCCAGCAAGCCAAACGTTTGCTATTCAAAAATAACTTTCCATCTTCTGAAGTTCTTCTGTCAAACTCTGCAGCGAGGGCTCATGCAACAAGTTACTTGCTGCAGTTGGCAAGATCTGGCTGCTTCTCATCACCCTCGTAGAACAGAACAGTTTCTGCTGCAAATACTTGCCTTAATTTTTACTTAAATTCTGACTTATACCAGCAGATATCTGTTCTCTACAAGACACTGCTTTAGTTCAACAGAATTGTTACCATTTCATCTAACCAAAAATCCTGTAGATCAATGAAGTACAAATGTGACAGTCACAGTCACCAGCCTGCAAGCTGCACTCCTTTCAACAGCTGTACTTGTTCGAAGACAAGATTTTTCACTTGTGTTTGTATAACGTTTGCCTTAATTAGCTGATATTATGACTCACGTTAGGTTGCAAGGCACAGCTGGAAACAGAACAACGTGAACAGAACAGAACAGAAAAGGAGAACCCAACAGTATTACTGCACTTACTTTGAATACTAAGGTCATTCTCCCATTGTTTTTAGCAATAAAGGTAAAAGTAAAACCACAAAAAAAATTTCTTCAAGAGTAGAGTTTAGCTTTTGGAATCATTACGGGGGAAGGCACCTCTAAGATCATCTAGTCCAACCATCCACCTCCAACCAATACTCCCCAGTTACACACTCTTCAGGGATAAAGTAAAGGGAAGCACGATAAAGGAAAAACAAGCAGAGGAACCATGAAGTCATCCTTACTCGGTCAGAAGCTGATGCAACTTCTGGTAGCCCCTCTCCAAGGCCAAGCTCACGGGCGTCGCGCCGTCGCGGTTGTGGATGCTGAGAGCTCCTCTTCCTCCTGGCTGCTGGAGCAGAAACCACGTCAGCCTCAGCAGGCCCTGCCTCACTGCAAAGTGCATCAGTGTCTCCCGAGGGATGTTCTCTGGAAATAAGGAAAGAAAAAGAAATATGAATTTGTAGGCTGCCGCTTAGGTGAATGCCATTCCCCCACATCCTTGTTACTGGAGACAAGCCACACGCATGCCAAGTGCAGCACAATGGCTGGCATGGAACTAGAGGTGCTGACAGCCAAAAAGCCAAGGAACCTAAACACTGCAGCACCTGGAAAAACACGCTCTGCACAAGCTGGCTGCGAAATCCAGGAGACACCGCTGCATGAAAGCGAGGGACTGGCTCCAGTGGGACTGAATGTGCTCGGGACATCTCGGGGTCAGACTGAAAGAGCACAGAAGTCAAAGTGAAAAGAAGGGCTTTGTGGACAGCCATGACAGCCACTGAGCTGCAGGGCTTCCCTACAGCTCCTGGCATCTTCAGGGGTGTACATTTCTCTGTACATCCAAGCCTTTTTTAGTCCCACGGCCAGGACCAGCTTTTAGGAATCTGAGAGTTATGTTATTTAACGGAACATTGATTTGTCCCAAGGCATGAAAAAAATCAATTACAACCAAAGAACAAATGCAGAGCAGTTATGAAAGAGAACAGTTTTAGCCTCTCATATGGACATAAAAACGAGGTTTTTGATTTCCTGGCTTGACTGTGCCTTAGCCCAGCTTTTCTCAGCTTTCTGCAGTAGCACTGTAATTCTGAGTAGCAACATTTATAAACTAGTAATCTCCTCTGCTGCTTTTTATGTTTAATAACCATGACTTTCTAATTCAGTAAAAGTCACTCTTGAGCCTAAGCTTTCATCTCAGAAAAGTATCCCCCCTACTCTAAAAGCTGCAGCCCGAGAACTTCCACCAGAAATGGGCTCCAGATGCACCGCTGAAATACAGCATTTGCAGACCAAAGCGTGCTGCTTCTGCAGGGAGGGAGAAAGCATTTGGGTTAAAAAACTGCAAGAAATACAAATTTGTTCTTTTAATTAACAAAGGATTTCAGTATTGACTGGCAGCAGCAAAAACAACAGAAATGCACCAGCTGAGTAAACCATGCCAATAGTTTAATACCTTTAATATTGTAGCGGTGATTTATTGGGTTATTAATTTGGTTGCCAGCCAAATCTACATAGTAAATTTAAAAAATGCAAGTGCATAATGCCTGTAAGATTTAATTATTTTTTCCCCAAGAAGCACACCCCAAGAGAAATCGCTTCTGCAGTGTGCTGTTTTCTTGCCTGCTTTCTCAAGGGACATCATTAAGGCCTTTAGTGAAAAACAATGCAAAAAGAGGGAGTTATCCCTGCCTGACACACAGGCTTTTCCCACTTTCTGGATCAGCTCCTGAAGAACTGATCTGTATTCAAGAACTACAACTCCCTGGCACTGTCTCTCTTCCATATGACTCCACATAGGATCTCTGGGCTTCAAACCAATCCCTCCTCCCTAACATCCTTTTATTACTCTCAAGCAAAATCATGTTATCTTGAACAGAGGAGTATGCCTGAATGGAGGTTCCAGCTGACCAGAGAAAAAAGAAATAGCTGGTCTTACTCACAGACAAATTCTCAGCCTATGGGGGAGTTAACAACAAGGATTTTGGTATGGAGTGCAACAGCGTGTCGTGATTCAGAAATAAACAACCCAACAAGGTGGTTAATCAAAGACTGTCAGCTTTGGGCCTAAGGTATAATGAAAAATAAGACAACAAAAGGGAAAAACTACTGACAAGGCTGCAGAAAGGAGGAAGTGTGGATACAGGACTGGACTTAGCGAAAGCATATGGCCCAAGTTTTACCCTGTGAACTTGTACTTGCACAGAGCTCCTACAATAACTGCACTAATAAACTGGCAGTCAGCTAGCATAATTAAAACAGTACAACTCTTCCTGCCACGGATTTAGGAAGCACCACAGCACTTCTGTTGGAGCAAATGACTGCTGTCCAAATAAAGAACATGTTGCACTGGTCTGACCACATCTGGTGCAGCAAGGATCATCTCCCACTCCAGCTGCCTCGTTGAAAGGGAACATCATCTTCCTAACTGAAACAAACAGCCTTGCACCAGGGCAGACCTGAAAAGCATAAGCATGGATTCCTGGATCAAAACACCTCTTCCTCCTTTAGCTGAGAGCTGCACAATTAGGGAGCAGCATCTTCTGCTTACCAGCTCTTGGTTCTCCAATAAAAACACACACCAACTGCAAGTTTGGAAAGGTGCCTGCAACCATGCATCCCCTGATCCACCTGGGTACCCGTCCCCACATGTATTTCCATAGAGGAATTGCTTCTCCTACTTGTCCCAAACGTTCAGGTGATTTAATCTGCTCATTTGAATGCACTTTTTGAAAATCCTGTCTTTTCTTCTCCACTTTTTAAAAACAACCTTCACTACTGTCAAGTTAGTGAATACAGGTGGATGGAGGTGGTTACACATGCAACTGGCCTGAACTCAGCACTGCCCCAGTGCCTCTGCACAACCACGAAGTGCACAGAAGATGAATACAAGACATGGAGCCTTGCCATCCTGAGCATATTAAACACAGACTCATTTTCCAGGTCCATTGGAAAGGATCTGCCTGACATACAGACTGGCTCCAGGCCATCCTAACAGATGGGTATGGACGATGGCAGCAAAGAGACAAAGTGCTGCACACACAACAACTGCAGGGCCCTGGGCAATGGCTTTAGAGGGGTCTGGAGTGTTTAAAACTCACACAGCTATGGTGAAAAGGAGTGTGCCATCTGTGGACTGGATTAACTACTAATATACAAGGAGAAATACATCCGCTGGTGCACAGTGTTGCTCAGAACAAGCCAAGAGCAGGTGTGCATTGAGTATGGAAGTGCTGCATGATGGAGATGGAGGGAGGATGGGCAGCATGCCTACAGCCATCCCAGCTCTGTAGGTCTGAGGCTTGTAGCGTGGGATGCTGGAAATTCAGTCGATGATTACAACGTCTTGTCATGGTGCAAAATTCCTTTCGCAGCTATGGAAGAACAACAGAAGCTTTAACCAGCAGTAGCCAGAGCTCCTTCTCCTACCACATCACGCATGAGCTCCTCATCTTAAAATGGCTGTCCTGTAAAAAAGGTTCTTGTAATTAGGAAAACTGTGGAAACACAAGACACACGATACTGGAAAGACCAAAGTTGTTTTTGTTCCTTTCTTGTTTCCTAGTAATAGGCAAGAGTTGAAACATATGATTATCATCCCATAATGGCAGGGCACTCTAATCCAGCTGGCAAAACAGAAGACTTTAGATGTATTATTTTAATTTTTTTTTCTTTTTTTTTTTTTTTTCAGCTGTGACACATGAACAATTTATCTGAGTAGCTAAGGTCAAAATTTCCATAGAAGAATATCAAATGTACTTTGCTAACTGTAAATGATTAAGGCTTAAGGTGCTTTTAGCACTAAATAAAAAAGCACAGAAGAAAAAAAAGAAAAGGTTTGGGTATGACATCTGAGAGCACACAAAAAGTAACAACTTGCATTGTAATCCTGATTAAATAAAAGGGGAAAAAAAAAAAGAAAGAAAGAAAAATCAACTAACCTCTGTATTTCTTTTTAAAATTTGCTTATTTATTTAGAGAAATCCATGCTGAATGGCTCAGTTTACCCTCCATACCTTGAGACAGCTCAGTAAAGAAGAGAAAGCCATGGATTGGAACAGCTCAAAGAATCTCTTGCTACTCTTCCCATGATAGTGACTTCCCCTTGTTTCTCACCCAAAACCATGTATTGTAAGCAAATTCTAAGGGCTACCATCAAATCTTGTGTATGGCTGAAAGGGTTCTCAGTGCTCAGATCAACCCTTGAGCAAAACCCCGAAACAAGCCGTCACCTGGCACTCGAGAAGGCAATGGTACTAAAGGAAGGGCAAGGTGGAGACACAGAGGTTGGAGTTATGAGTTCAGTTAATGCAAAATGTGGGTAATTCTTTTTTAATCTTATAAACGAGACTTTTTCAAAGCACACTGAAGGACCTTCGTGTCCCTCCTCCCACTAACACCTAAGGGAAGAAAAGCACCTTAATGCCAATGGTTTCTCAGCCACAGACACCAGCTGAACATTTTCTGCTTCCTATTTTGCAATGCAGAGTGCATTAAATTCAGGGAAGGAAAATATTTTTTTTCATCTTATCAAGTACTGTAGCTGAACAGCCTGCTTTGTGCTGTTTGCTCAGAGAAGATCATGCCCATTTATACTCTACAAGCCTTTATCAGAGGGCAGAGAGAAAGGTGAGAAGCAGATAGGAAAGAACACCAGACTCAGGGAAAAGAAAACTGGTAACTATTATCCTGAAAGCATTTCAGTAGAAACTATAAACGGAGTGCAGGAGATGAACAGATTAAAGCTTTATGTCTGGAAAATACCATCAGCCACCTCCCTTCAACGTGCTCCAGTGGAGAAAAAAAGGTAGCTCCTAATTTCATTGCAGTCAGTCCTGAAAGTTTGTTGGTTTTTTTTTTTTCCTAGTAAGGCTTTTTTGTTGCTGCTACTGCTCTCTTCAGACATTCTGTTTCTGTTTTCAGTATCCTCTTGAGATCTTTCTGATCTCTACTGATGTGGTCCATTGCACTGAACACTGCAATCCTTCTGGGTTCCACGCACCGTTATTAAACGTAACTCCCAACTATTTCAGACTGGGCCAAGGCAACTTCTTCCCCACCACCTCCTCCCCATTGAGCTCACAGAGCTTTATTTCTCAAGAAGCATTATTGCATATGGATGTTTGCTATTCAGTGCTTCTGGGAAGCTGCACATATTCAAGACGTCTTCAAGACGTCAGTAACTGCATTCCTAAGGCCTGGGAGCTGCTAAGTGTTTTATCTGCTAAGATGGTATTCTGGTTATCTGCCTGCAATCGATGCTATCTTGTAGCTCATCAAAGGGACAGATTTTCCCAATGTTCCCATGGGGAATCACTTGCTCTCATGGCTGATCATCACTGCACTCTGAAAGCACCAACCTGAAAAGCTCACACCACCAAAACCAGAACCAGTCTGGATTTCACCACTTATTTTGATGAGCAAACTGAACAGACTGTTTCCCAAAAGAAGTTTTGAAAGCAGTCTGTTCACTACTGATAGATAACTCAAGGATTAGTTCTCTAAGCTTTCCATACCTTAGGTACTCCCTTATTTTTTTGTCATCTTTTTCTCCCTACTGCAGCACAAACAAGCCATAATTATTACTCATACCTCCAAATATTCTGCTCTGGTTTTCTAGTTAGTTTATTTTCTGCTTAATCATTTAAAATAGAAAATTACAGTCCTGCATTTATGTTGCATATATCCTCAGAATACATATTAAATTTTGATTTCTAGATATAAAGTATAACCCATCTGTTCAATTCCAACAACAGCCCTCTGAATGTCACAGGGAACAGTAAATAACCCTACGCTTAACAGCACTAACAACTATGTTCTTTAGAAAGTTACAGTGCACTTGCAGTAATTAAGACAGACATGATAACACAGCACCTGAAAGTAATGCTGTGTTTGGAACACCATGGTAACAAAAGTCATCCTTAATTACAGATAGTCTGAAATAAACTTGGGATGCCATCTGAGTTCATTCACATGAGTTGATAATTAAGGGCAAAGCCCAGGAAGGACAGTGCACAGCAGGTAAGAGCACAGCACAGCTCACCCAGCTGCCCTGGGACAGCAGCAGCATGCATGGAGAGGGCTGAGACATCTATGCCCAAGGTGGTTTAGATGAACTCTGGACTTGGAATGCAAAGCCTTCAACCTGCACATGTCCATGCAAAGCCCTGCAACACAAGCACATGCTTCTGTACAGCATTGTGTGTGGTGGACTTGATGATCCTGAAGGTCTTTTCCAACCAAGATGAAGCACCAGGTGGGATGTGGTACCCCCCTCACCCAAAGTGCCATGACCTGACCTGCATAACTGGCACAACAGCTTCATATTCCCTGTGAAATATTTTTTGTGTGTGGATAAACAGGTATCTACTGAAATGTTACTGCAAGACTTCCTGGAGCCCTTTTCTCTAAAATATGGGTTAAAGGCTTCTCTGGGGGCTTCTTCAAATAGCAAATAGGAGGCTGTACCTCAAGCAGGTGTGTTCACGGAGAAGGAGGAAAGTAAGTGGTAGAGACTGGGAAGGCAATTTGGGTCAGCTCATTCTGCACGGGAACAGAGTGCTGATGAAACTGCCCTGAAACTGAGTACCCCCCTGACAGCAGCTGATGTGAGGAAAGCTTGAGAACAGGCTTTATACATATATGTATTTTATTGGGGAAAGTTATCCATAAAGAAGCTGTTACTCAGAAACCTAATTAAAGCCCAGTCATGATCAGCTGTAGGTGTCCCTGCTCACTGCAGGGAGTGGGCAGACGACCTCTAAGAGTCCCTTCTGACTCAAATGATTCGATGATCGCACCAGAAGGGCAAAGAAATGGGAGTAAAGAATTTCACCTTTCCATGGAAAAGCAAACAAGAACTCTGAGGTGAGACCACTGACCAACAGTTTCAGAGAAGAAGATTCTGTTTTCTGAACTAGCTTTTCTTGCCAGGGGCTCCCCATTTACAGCCACTGCCCTCCATCGCACAAGCATTACAGACGCTGGCAGGACCAGGCTGGGTACCACACTCCACACCATTGGCTGCTGAACACAAAGCTTGTCATCAAAGCCCAAGTCGTACAAAAAGAGAGTTTGGTGCTAAATTTGGCACGGCAGGCTCAAACAGAGCTTGATGAGATCCAAATGAATCCACTTTTTTCAACAGGTTTTAGGTGAAGAACGAAAGCCTGTGATCACAGATTATTTCAGACTTTTTTGCTGTACCAGAGTAACACCAATTAATAAATACTGGTTTTGAGCAATGTTAACCAAACAGCTGCAATAATATTACCATATGGATTAGATTAATCAATCCTGCTCAATGCATTTAATTTTGGGACAGTTTCTTTTTAAGCACTAAGAAGTTTTTTCCTTCTGGACCAGCAAATGAGAATACTGTACACAAACATACTGGGATTGGAAATACACTGATGAGCTATACAGGAATACACACTGAGTTTATTTTCAATTTGTTCAAATGAAAATGATGTCTAAAGAGATAAAAAGACAGAAATGCAAAGAAAGCATAGTGTGAAATACTACTGGGATTACTGAACCTGAGGAAACTTCTCTTGCTGAATGGCAACAGCTAGCTTAAATAGGTTATGGGGGGAAAAAAAAAAGAAAGGTGTTTCACTGGAATGCTTACAAATGTCCTCTGGCTGTTTTAAATAATGTTAGAGGCATTTCTAGCCCACAGCTGAAGCAATGCATTCTTAACAATTTGGATGTATAAATGCACCACGCCTTTAATCTAGAGCAATGGCAAACTCTTGAAGAATGAAGACCCTGGTTTGGCAACCAAAACATAAGCAAGCACATAGTTCTTACATAGCTTTGGACCACAACAATGCTGCACTTTTACTTACTCAGTGTTATGGCAGCATCTTTCCTGTCCTTTGGAGCGTGACAGCAATTAACTCCTTGTGTTCTGCAAGAAGAGTTGGGAATGGGCAAAGGAAAGGAGAGGCCTGTGCAGAGCCAGAGAGGCAGCCCCCCCTCACAAGCCTGCACCCTGGAGCCACCATCCAAGCTCTTGCTGCAGAACGGCAGCCACTTCACGCCTATCTCCAGACTGGAGCCCTTAGAAATATCTTCTTTCAAACATGCTTCACAGCAATGCCCACCTCATAACAGCACTTCTATGCCCAGATTGCTGGCTGAGGCTCTCCGCTCGCTCTGACTTTCAGAGGTTTTGCTAAACAGCAGCGTTTTGTTTCCAACCCACAAGAGCCCAAAGAGAAATGTCAGCTTAGAAGCAGCGTGAAAGTCTTTCAAGAACGGATCTGACATTTTCTTTTGTTCTCATTTCTATAGCATTTTCTCCTTCAAGACGGTTATTTGCAGTATATGGCAGTGACATTTAGCGAAACGGGAAATATGAATTGAGATAACTGTTCATAGGTAGTGATGCAATGAAGGATGGGCGGTCCCACTAGAGGGGCACTGACCAGAACATGTGCATAATTCTTCTCATGCTCCCCCAGTTTCAATCTGTGCAATGATTTTCCCACTTTCCCAACCCAGATTAATGCACAAGCACCACCACTACAGAGGTGCTGTTTTCCTAATGTAGCTCTCCATCACGAATCAGAGACATCTCTCCAACCTTGTTCTCCCAAAACAGGGTTACGTGACCAGAAGGATGCTTATATATACAAATCTTTCCTGTCACAATCACAAAAATTCCCCAAAAGTCCCTGTGTATAATCAGCTTACTGAAAAATAACTACCAGATATATCTGCCTCCAGACCAAAAGCCAACCAGGAGATGAAAAACAGACCAAGACATCAACAGATTGCCCTTACTCAGTTACATGTGAGAAAACTTACTGCAAGAGAACATTTTATTAGACCAGCACTCTTAGATGAAGGTTGCATTTACTGCTGCTGAATGCCACAGCCTGTACCACAGTGATTTTCAGGCACAGAAGTGTATGCTGAGCAAATCCTATGGCAAATCCATAAGCAAATCCCTTCTCTAACTTCTGATTTTTCCAAAGAGGAACCAAAGACCAAAAAAAAAAAAAAAGAAACTAGATCTGAGCCTTCCTGCAAAATCAGTAACAATCCAGTGCTTCAATTGAGATTTTCATTAATAAAGAGCACTTTGCCAGTCTTTTACAATATTTTTACCACTTCAGTAAAGCAGAAATTCCTGCATTATCACAGCTTTCTAAAATGCAAAAAGAAACATCAGCGTCTTCCATGGAGAGGGAAAAGATACCAAGTGTTTATCTCCCAGTAAACAGACAACAGCATCTGAATTTCTATCCAGAAACCACTAAATACGATCACATCACTGAACCTCTGCTAATGCTGCTTTGATTGCCTGCCCGTGCATTCATGTTTACAAAAGCAGTCACTGAGGCAGTGACAATTAAAGCAGGAAAAAATCCTGCAGAAAACCCCATCAGGGCAAGCAGAACTGCAGCCGCTGTGCTGAACAACTCATTCCTGTTGCAGTGTTTAGGCTGGTATATCCCATAACAGATAGGGAATGCCTCACAGCCACATTCCTCATGTGAAACTATTTACCAGAATACCTTAGAAATTTATGGCAACACTGGAATTAGCCCCAGAGTGCACCAGTATGCTTCCTTAAAACTTCCCTGTGACAGAACTCCAAGGCTACAGCCATGTCACAGCATCTTGAACATGTTGGCTCTGCTGCTTTTACTAGAGGTTTTGGGCCAGCACTGACCTCTATTTATAAGCTCTCCGTAGCACTCTCTGCTATGGTTAAGGGCTCATGTTAGCCAGGCTTTCCCACTTTTATTCTGTTTTATTTGCAGAATTATCTGGGCTCATTTTAGGGAAGGTCTGCGCTCACAGACAGCTGTACAGGCAGGGATGCAGGACTAATCCTCAGGGTGCTTTGGCATCAAACATGCTGCCTGTAGGCAGCCTGCCAGCTTCTCCAAGAGAAATCAAATGCGTTTTACGCACATTACAGTTCCTCTGCACCTGTGCTATAAAACCAGTGTTTAGCAAACACACCAAGGCTGTGGCACAAGGCCAAAGCATCAGGCTTCCTCCACAGACCCATCTTTTTCAGGAAATCAAAGAAACGTGATACTGATGCATGCATAACACTGCACAGACAAAAAACCCCTATCTGCACGTGTTGCAACACTGACCACTTACCACACTGCGTCCTATTTTATAACAGAAGATAAAAGAAAACATGGGTGACCTGTATTTCAAAGTGGCTGAAATGCAAAGTGTAGGACACAGACACGGTACGACACGTTGGCATACAGCCTGTCCCATTTCTGTGCACTAAGACCAATGAATATTTTGAAAGACAAGCGGATGGCTCCCAGAGCAGAAGGCTTTTAACCCCTCTCCCCACCCACACCTCACACACGTCCCCATGCTTCTCACCGTTGAGGGACTGATCCGTTCCCAGCACGTTCCATTCTGCAGGCAATTTCAGGTGTCGAAATGCCAAAGCCACTTTCTCATCCAGAATGTCCACATCAGCTGCAGGTGGTCTCGACTGGTCCAAGAAACGGGTGAAGTTTAGTGCCTGCTGGTTCCCTGCGTACGTAGCCAGAAACTGGGCTGCATCGTAGGCTTCATCCTGGATGAACTTGAAGCTCTCTTCTGCCACCACCAGAACAGGGCGACCTTCCTTAGAGGCACAAAGTGCCACCTTCACCGTCTCACAGCAGTCATGGCCTGCAAAGAAAACCAAGGGAAATTGTAGAAGAGAACAGTCGAGTGCTGAAGAAAGCCACAACTGAGCAGCATTTTTGACACACACATTCCTTATATTAATTCAGATAAATACAAGTTATCAAGAGTTACAACTCTAAATTAAAAGCTATCTTGGGACCTCAATGTGTTTGAAGAGAAAAAAGTATTTTTTGTAGATGTTTAAAGATGTGTAATCCTTCTGTTTGGTATAATATAGAGCCAGAAATATCTAAGCAGCTCTACTCTGACCAGCCTATTTTGGATCAGCTACAAGTAAATTCAAGAGCACTTGGTAACGATTTTGCTAATGCACCTATGGGAATTATGATCCAATCAGCCAGATTATAGGGTCAGACAAACTTTTTCTTTCCATCTCCACTCGGGAACTCACCAGAAAGTAGAACCTGAGAGAGGAAAAGTTCCTGCTCCAAAAGCTGGCACAGCACTTGGCTTACACCGCAACCACCGCAACATCACCTAACACACAGACCTACAAAGCAGCAAGAGCTGGTAGAGCACAGCCTGAAACACAAAACTAAAACTAAGCTTCTGCTAAATAAAAACCCAAAATGGCTTCTTTCCATATTTACCAAATAAAAATGGTAGAACTTTGATACATTTATTTAATTAGGGCCCAAAGCAGCCAGTGCTGGCAGTTGTCAGACATGCCCCTTCAATAATAAGGTTCGTGTTTCAAGTTCACTGTGCAGCACAGCTCCTTGTTCCAGTGTCAGCCTGACGTCAGTGCTGTTTTTGCCAGAACAGCACGGACCCTGCACTAATTACTGGAAAAGCTTCTTTTTGCACATGACCTCAGCATCTAACCACATTCATGGAACCCTACTTAATTAAATACAAAATGACGACTTATTTTTAAAGGCTCGAAAATTCTCTTTAAGCCCCTATTTGTGGTCAGTGGGAAAGTTTCCTTCTTGTGTCGAGGCTCTTTGCTGTTGATTTCACTCACAAAAGGAAAATACGTCCCTAATCTCTGCAGCCATTCAGCCAACCTTCCAGATCTGCTCTGAGGCTTTTGGCAGCTGTACAGGTTTGTCTGCTGAAAGAGGCAATCCTGAAGTTAATTGAGAGGTCAAAACTGCTATTCGGACACTGTGGGTAACACCAAAATTGTCAGAGATGAGGCTGTGTGACTTCCTAAGGAGAGCAAGCGCAGCTGGAAACATATCAAAGGAAAATGATGTGAAAGTTGAAGGAACAGACACACTAACACTGACATTGCAACAAAGAATAAGAGCGGGAAGACCTTTGGGGGCTCTCTGGAAGCTATGGAGAAGTCTAACTTGGAGGAAAGCACAAGATACTCTTTCTAAAGCAGCAAGGACTTGGAAAAGTTACACGTGCATTCAGAGTTTAATTCATCACCATCTGATGGGACTGGCAGTGGCCCTGAGGAAGCACATCACAAATTACCTCCGTCCTCACTGAGGCAGCCTCAAATATCCAAAGGAGAAGGCACAATTTCGGGGGAACTCCTCTTCAGTGTAGACCTTTACAACCTTCCCCATATAACTTCTTGCTTTGCTCCTTCTAAAGATATCAGAACAAGGAGCTAAGAAGACATACTAACATTGTTTAAAACCTCTACCAAAGCCCTGAGCCGCACACAGTGTGAAGAGCCATCCTGCAAAAGCTGACTCGGGAACTCTGAACTTGGCTCTTCCCCATGCAAAGAAGTGGAAGTTTACTAAAATGCAAAGTTTTTTTTTTTTTTTTTAATAACAAAAGATTGAAAGATTGCTTAATCACATGAGAAAAGCTAAACCTTTGATTTTTACTTTTTTTTAAGCTATTTTCTCTCTATTCCCATAAGAATCCCATCTGCAAAGTAACCTAGAAAACAGCTACTCTGCCAGAAAGGCAGCTGAGTTTCAGGAGTGAAGCTGCAGACAAGCACAGCCTGCTCGCAGTCAGACTGCAGGACAGTCACTTCAGTCACTTCTTCATGAGGAAAGCTGCTCCATTATGACAACACAAACTTCCATAGAGCAACGTAGTTGCCTTCAACCAGCACATCGGACTAGACGAGCTGTGATCTGCTTGCACTGAACACGTGTGGGACTTCAGCCTTGCAGTGCATTTAAGTAAAGCCACAGAAGCACAGATGCAACACAAGCAGAGGTGACCACCAGATCAAGTCCTGAATCACAGCCAGACGTGGTTCTCCTGAAAGCCCCACGAGCATCTAATGCAGCCTTGAAAAAGAGGTGCCCGAGCCGACAATCCATGGACATCTGACAGGATCAAACAAGCATCCTGCTAAACCCTTGGGAATGTTATTCCAAAGGGCAACCCCTCACAAGGCTTTGATATTCTCCTTCCCTACATCTGACGAGATGTCAAACTGGGGGTTAAGAGTCTGGGACAGGTTCTGACTTTGGCAAAGAGTTCAAACACAGGAGGAGGAATTAAGTAACAAGCGTGGCAAATAGTAAAAGATTGCTCAAGAGGTCTCTGCCCCCTGCTTTGAAAGAGCCACAGGGACGTCACCAACAAAGAGCTCAAACACCCGAGCACACACAGGACCTTCTGCAGGAACAGCCAGTACAGCAAGGCTGCTCTCCACATCAAAGACCTGCTTCCTACCCTGGGATAACAGTTGAACTTCAGCAGCCCTTTTCCCAGAGCACGTTAAGCAGTGTTAGGAAAAGTGCGCTCAGCTTTCTGGCACCCTTGGGAGATAAATGGTTATCATCCACAGAGCGAGCCCAAAGCTGTTTGCATGAGGTTAAGGAACTTGCCCAGGATCACAAAGAACTCAGGGCAAGGTTGGAACACATGCTATTGCTCTGAATGGTCTCCTTTCTGCTCCAGCAGGCAGACAACGGAGTTTACCCTTAGCAGGATGAAGGATGGACCCATGCATGGTGCCGGTGTGCAGCATCCATCACCCAGCCTACAAACAGCGTGTACAGCACCACGAGCACCACAGCACACGGCCATTAACTGCTGTGCTCCTTCCAGAAGCAGAACAAAGCTCTGCAGACTTACTAAAAACGTAAAAAACCCGGGTGCATCAGGAGGAACCATCAGCTTACTTATAGCCTACCTGTAACATTTGTATTTCAGAAGGTTCAAAACATGGGGGACCGAATAAATTACACACATGGCTGCACCCACAGAGGGCAGGAGAAATCCAGGCATTTTAGAGCTCAAATGGGTTTGCGATGCTGCGTAACATCTCTGCAGATTGCCTTCACTCTCCTCCAGAAATCCGGACATCTGGCCAAACAAGCAATCCAAAGCAAATGGTAACATTCTGAACACTGCCACACTATTACCATCCAGCAATATTCCAACTTGAATTCTAACTTTTCCAACAAACGTAACAGTGTTTCTACCATTGCTGTTTGCTAACGTCTCAGGCTATTTGCTGGCATCCACACTGTTCTCTTCTTCGTACATTTTTTTGCCACAGTATGAAATTCCATCATTTATATGCTAGCTTAACTGTTATAAAAGTCAAATAATCCACCCCTTAATTCTTCTTGTATTGAATTTTCCCTCATTTCTCCTGGTCCTCAATTATTTCAGATTTAGAAGCAACTCAATACTTAGGAGCTGTTCTAGGATCTGCCAACACATTGCAGGAAAAATACAGAAATTATAAAACTTTCCAGTCTGCACAGAGATGGGTGCAGCAGTTGCTTCTGCCACGATGAAGTGAATTCCCCAGTTTCACAAACCCATGCTTTAAAAATTGTTTAAAGCAAGACAACAAGTCTTCAATTACCAAATTCCTTACTAGGCCACTTACTGGAACTTGCTTTGGGCAATACACAACAACAAAAAACAAGGAACATGAAGCTCTGGCCTCTCTGTACTCAACCCTGATGAGATGAGATGCACTGGTATGATAGCACTGCCTCTTCTACACAACAACATTTGCAAAATAATACTGCAAAAGGTGGAGATGCTCAGCTGCAGGGATTTTATAGATAAGTTAATGTATAGTCTTAGGCTTGGCCATCCAAGTAGTATCCATTTTACTGACCTGGGGTGTGTTTAAAAGGGTGGCAGCAATGACTCTGAACAGACTTTTTATCATCAAACAAGGCACACATGGAGACAAAACATCGTTGCTTCGAAGCAGAGCTTTTACCAAAACATGATTTCATTTCCTACTCCTCTGAAAGTGGAAATCCTGTCCAAGCCACCTATTTTCAGAATTAACATTTGAGATATCAGACAATGGCCCCCCAGCCTGGGCAGCTATTTAAAGCACTGCTGGAAGCACATGTTTAGGTTTGCCTGGTTGGTGACTTCTGTGCTAACTGCGTCCTCTGAGTTATCCTGGTGGGGCTGTATAAAGAGATCTTATATGGAGGTCTAAACAGGACAGGAAAGCCAGACAGTGAATGCTGTGAATCTCCCAGAGTATTTTCAGTCTGCATCCAACAGATGTTGCCATCTGGTGGCTTGTAGAAAGGCAAGTCAAGGGATCTCCTGTGGCCACTTGAGAAAAGCTCTCTCCTTCAGAAATCCCAAATTCTGGTTCTGAAAACTAGAGCCCATGCTCGACACGTCTGATGCACAGTTGCTCTATTTACTCTTGCAACATAAGAGACCTTATGAAATACATAGGCCAGTAAAAGTGATGGACAGGAGCCTTTGTTTTTCATTACAAATCCTGTACAATTGTAGAAAGATTGTTTTAGGTCCTTTACGCTGCAAAGGTCATATATAAATTGGTAGAAGCACAAGACCCCACACATTACCTCATAAATAACTTCAATACAAATTCAGTCAATTTTTCCTGTCGCTGAGGTCATCTAGAAGTAGCATCATTTCCTTTTGATTGCACTGCCTAGAGCAATTAAGTACACTAAAGAGAATGGACTGCAAAAAGTCTTCTTGGCTATGCTGTTCTGTTCTATTTTAGGGGGGTTTTGTTCTATAATTAAGAGTATTTTAAAATCCACAACTAGCATTGCCAAGAGATCACTTGTTATGCAACTTGTTTA